CCACTCGCCGTTGAGAGATGGGGGGATTTGCAAAGCTCCAGGTTATGTTTCTCCTCATTTCACAGTTGTTGCCGGTTTCGTTTGCATGTTTTTGCTTTCTCTTTTTTTTTTTTTTTTAAATGCGGAAGGTTTTCGACCATGGTAAAGCAAGTGAAATGAATAAGAGTACAAAGTTTCGTTAGGTACTACTCAAAGAGACACCGTTGATGCTTAAAGCATAATGTTAGTCATGTCAACAATGGGAAGAAAGAAGGTGTTTTTACACACACAGCTCTACGTACATACAACAAGCCTGAGACTTTAAAAGGGTTCTGCTTCTGTGTCCACAGAAGTTTAGGCCGTGGAGAGTGGCGGATACTGACCTTGGATTCCTTCTCTTCCAAGAGGGTCTCCAGCTTCTTTTGGGCCGCTCGCCCCTCGTGGTCATCGCTGACAATGAGGATGATATGGTTCCACTTGTAAAAGCGCATCATCTCGAACCAGACGTTGGACTGGTGGGAGTAGGGGGGCACCGTTCGTAGGAAGGACAGGTGGATGCTCTGCGGATGAGAGGCAGGAGGGAACCAGAAGAATGAGAGGAAAAGGGCTGCGTGGCTGGGTGGCCGAAAGGTTTTCCACACAAGGGAGTCGCCTTGAGAGGGGATCCAGAAAACAAACGCCAGGCTCTCGTTTTGTTCCCCAGGGACTTTGGCTCCACCCTGATCGATCTTTCTCAAGCTGAATGGCTTTTGGAAAGACCCTCTTTCCATGTGCTGACCACCAAAGACGGTGAGCAAGGACTCTTCTCCGTTGGTCTTTCAATGGCCTGCCTCGCCTATTCTTGTTTTTTCCCAGAACTTTTTTTAATTTTTTGTTCTCTTACATACCGTTTTAAGTACACATTCACATAATCATCCTTCTTTACATCTGTCATTCTTATACATTTATTATTTTATTTAATAGGTTATAGTAAATCTGATACATTTATTTAATAGGTAATCATTTAATCATTTAATAGGTTGTAATATACAGTTTGGGTTGCTTTATTTACCATTCCTTCCTCCTGTTGTAACACCACCCAATTTTCCCTTTCTTTTCTCCCTCCCTCCTTTCTCTACTTCCTTACTTCCTCCTCTCCTTCCCCTTCCTTCTTCCCTTCCCTTTCTCCTACTCTTCCTACCCTCTGTCCTTCTCTCTCTCTCCCTTCAATCCTCCTCTCCTTTCCCTTCCTTCTTCCCTTCCCTTTCTCCTACTTCTACTCTTCCTCTTCCCCTTCCTACCTTCTCTCCTTCTCTTTCTTTCCCTTCAATCCTCCTCTCCTTCCTTCTTTCCTTCCCTTTCTCCTACTCTTCCTACCCTCCCTCCTTCTCTCTCCCTTCCATCCTCCTCTCCTTACCTCTTTCTTCTTTCCCCCTTCTTCCTCTCATTCTCTCCTCCTCTCTCCCTTTCTTTTTCTGTTGCTGTAGGTGTCTCTTTCAAATCTCAGTTTATGTTTTCTTGGGAATGGTATTTCCGCAAACCCAAATATGATTTGCTATCATTTCTTATTCCCTTACCTTCGCTAATCTGTCCTATGTTTTTCCACCCCTTTATATCTCACTCTTGAATCTATACTTATATATTTAATATTTTCTTTTCTGTTTTCCCCTGCTTCCCCTCCCTTCCATTTAATAGTGCACCGTCTGGGTTCTATATATTCCCCCTACTTTCTTTTCTAGTTTCCTTTCTCTAGCCAATCGTAAAATCTTCCATATTGTCTTCCCTATTCTGAGTTCTAGGAACAGGGAAGTCATCAGCATGTCTAAAAGACAGCAGCCAAGATGACAGAGGGATTGGAAGGAAAAGAAAAACGTATAGGAAAAAGTTGGTAGCACCACCGATATATTTATCCTGGAGAAGGGAAGTCGATGGTTGTCTTCAAGTATCTTAAGGAATGTTGTGCAAAAAAAGAGCTGAGAATTGTTCCAGGGGATGGACAAGAAACAAGGAACTTAAATTAAAAGGAACACGAGAAAGGAGGGGATATTCTACCTCTCCCCATAATATACGCACACTCGTATTAGCAGTACATGAAAACAACCAGTCATGAAAATAATGATTTTGTTACCTTATCTGAATATATGGACATGCGAGTGGTCAGCCCAAGGACAGGAATCCGATAGAACCCAGCTGTGTAAGACACCGGTGTTGGGGTCAAGTGGTCATTTGGAGCTGGCGGGTGGCTCACTAAGATGGCATAAACCTGTAAGGATACAGCACAACGACAGTGGTTCACACATGGGACCCCGTCTCTGTCCCGGAAACAACCGGGGCTTCTAATGCTAGTAGTTGGACTCGTGAAACGGACAGCAGCCTCCAGAACTGTGAATAGGTCCGGGCAATTACGTTCTTCAAGCAGGCTTCTGTCTGGCTCTATTACCTCTCTGTTACCAAAAGGAGCAAATGTTCTATATTGTTCTCTGTTACCCCAAACTTTAAAAAAATGTGCTTTCAAAATGCCACAGAAAGCATTACCCATTTGTCAGCTCTTGTTTGAAACAGAGAAAGAAAATGCTTTATTTTTTTTTAAAGAGAGGAGATACTTTGCGAGGCTGCACAGTTGAAATTGAATTGAATTGAATTTTATTATTTGTATGCCGCCCTTCTCC